GAGCCTGATCTCGGAGTCTAAACGCAGCAGGAGTCTATGATCTCGGAGTCTATGATCAGAGTCTAAACGCAGCAGGAGTTTATGATCTCGGAGTCTATGATCAGAGTCTAAACGCAGCAGGAGTTTATGATCTCGGAGTCTATGATCAGAGTCTAAACGCAGCAGGAGTCTGATCTCGGAGTCTACAGGTGCTGGTCATAAAATTAGAATATCATGAAAAAGTAGATTGATTTCAGTAATTCCATTTAAAAAGTGAAACTTGTATATTATATTCATACATTACATACAAACTCATATATTTCAGATGTTTATTTTGTTTAATTTTGATGATTACAAATGACAACAAATGAAAATCTCAAATTCATCATATCAGAAAATTAGAATATTACTGAAGACCAATAAAAACAAAGGATTTATAGAAATGTTGGCCAACTGAAAAGTATGAACATGAAAAGTATGAGCATGTACAGCACTCAGTATTTAGTTGGGCCTCCTTTGGCCTGTATTACTGCAGCAATGCGGCGTGGCATGGAGTCGATCAGTCTGTGGCACTGCTCAGGTGTTATGATAGCCCAGGTTGCTCTAATAGTGGCTTTTAGCTCTTCTGAATTGTTGGGTCTGGTGTATTGCATCTTCTTCTTCACAATACCCCATAGATTTTCTATGGGGTTAAGGTCAGGAGAGTTTGCTGGCCAATTAAGAACAGGGATACCATGGTCCTTCAACTAGGTACTGGTAGCTTTGGCACTGTGTGCAGGTGCCAAGTCCTGTTGGAAAATGAAATCTGCATCTCCAAAAAGTTGGTCAGCTGCAGGAAGCATGAAGTGCTCTAAAACTTCCTGGTATGTGGCTGCGTTGACCCTGGACCTCAGAAAACACAATGGACCAACACCAGCAGATGACATGGCACCCCAAACCATCACTGACTGTGGAAACTTTACACTGGACTTCAAGCAACGTGGATGAAGTGCCTCTCTTCTTTTCCTCCAGACTCTGGGACCTTGATTTCCAAAGGAAATGCAAAATTTACTTTCATCAGAGAACATGACTTTGGACCACTCACCAGCAGTCCAGTCCTGTTTCTCTTTAGCCCAGGCAAGACGCTTCTGACGCTGTCTGTGGTTCAAGAGTGGCTTGACACAAGGAATGCGACAGCAGAAACCCATGTCTTTCATACGTCTGTGTGTGGTGGTTCTTGAAGCACTCACTCCAGCTGCAGTCCACTCTTTGTGAATCTCCCCCACATTTTTGAAGGGGTTTTGTTTCACAATCCTCTCCAGGGTGCGGTTATCTCTCTTGCTTGTACACTTTTTTCGACCACATCTTTTCCTTCCCTTCGCCTCTCTATTAATGTGCTTGGACACTGAGCTCTGTGAACAGCCAGCCTCTTTAGCGATGACCTTTTGTGTCTTGCCCTCCTTGTGCAAGGTGTCGATGGTCGTCTTTTGGACAACTGTCAAGTCAGCAGTCTTCCCCATGATTGTGTAGCCTATAGAACTAGACTGAAAGACCATTTAAAGGCTTTTGCAGGTGGTTTGAGTTAATTAGCTGATTAGAGTGTGGCACCAGGGGCCATCAATTTTGAACCTTTTCACAATATTCTAATTTTCTGATATGATGAATTTGAGATTTTCATTTGTTGTCATTTGTAATCATCAAAATTAAACAAAATAAACATCTGAAATATATGAGTTTGTATGTAATGTATGAATATAATATACAAGTTTCACTTTTTAAATGGAATTACTGAAATCAATCTACTTTTTCATGATATTCTAATTTTATGACCAGCACCTGTATGATCAGAGTCTAAACGCAGCAGGAGTTTATGATCTCAGAGTCTATGATCAGAGTCTAAACGCAGCAGGAGTCTATGATCTCGGAGTCTAAACGCAGCAGGAGTCTATGATCTCGGAGTCTAAACGCAGCAGGAGTCTATGATCTCTGAGTCTATGATCAGAGTCTAAACACAGCAGGAGTCTATGATCTCTGAGTCTAAACGCAGCAGGAGTCTATGATCGGAGTCTAAATGCAGCAGTTGTCTACGATCAGAGTCTAAACGCAGCAGGAGACTACGATCGGAGTCTAAACGCAGCAGGAGTCTAGGATCAGAGTCTAAACGCAGCAGGAGTCTATGATGTCGGAGCCTATGATCAGAGTCTAAGCGCAGCAGGAGTCTATAATCTTGGAGCCTATGATCAGAGTCTAAACGCAGCAGGAGTCTAGGATCGGAGTCTAAACGCAGCAGGAGTCTATGATGTTGGAGTCTAAACGCAGCAGGAGTCTATGATCTTGGAGCCTATAATCAGAGTCTAAACGCAGCAGGAGTCTAGGATCGGAGTCTAAACGCAGCAGGAGTCTATGATCTTGGAGCCTATGATCAGAGTCTAAACGCAGCAGGAGTCTAGGATCGGAGTCTAAACGCAGCAGGAGTCTATGATCAGAGTCTAAACGCAGCAGGAGTCTATGATCAGAGTCTAAACGCAGCAGGAGTTTATGATCAGAGTCTAAACGCAGCAGGAGTTTATGATCTCAGAGTCTAAACGCAGCAGGAGTCTATGATCTCGGAGTCTAAACGCAGCAGGAGTCTATGATCAGAGCCTAAACGCAGCAGGAGTCTATGATCTCGGAGTCTAAACGCAGCAGGAGTCTATGATCTTGGAGCCTATGATCAGAGTCTAAACGCAGCAGGAGTCTAGGATCGGAGTCTAAACGCAGCAGGAGTCTATGATCAGAGTCTAAACGCAGCAGGAGTTTATGATCTCAGAGTCTATGATCAGAGTCTAAACGCAGCAGGAGTCTAGGATCGGAGTCTAAACGCAGCAGGAGTCTAGGATCGGAGTCTAAACGCAGCAGGAGTCTATGATCAGAGTCTAAACGCAGCAGGAGTCTATGATCTCGGAGTCTAAACGCAGCAGGAGTCTATGATCTTGGAGCCTATGATCAGAGTCTAAACGCAGCAGGAGTCTATGATCTTGGAGCCTATGATCAGAGTCTAAACGCAGCAGGAGTCTATGATCTTGGAGCCTATGATCAGAGTCTAAGCGCAGCAGGAGTCTATGATGTTGGAGTCTAAACGCAGCAGGAGTCTATGATCTTGGAGCCTATGATCAGAGTCTAAACGCAGCAGGAGTCTATGATGTTGGAGTCTAAACGCAGCAGGAGTCTATGATCTTGGAGCCTATGATCAGAGTCTAAACGCAGCAGGAGTCTATGATGTTGGAGTCTAAACGCAGCAGGAGTCTATGATGTTGGAGTCTAAACGCAGCAGGAGTCTATGATCTTGGAGCCTATGATCAGAGTCTAAGCGCAGCAGGAGTCTATGATGTTGGAGTCTAAACGCAGCAGGAGTCTATGATGTTGGAGTCTAAACGCAGCAGGAGTCTATGATGTTGGAGTCTAAACGCAGCAGGAGTCTATGATGTTGGAGTCTAAACGCAGCAGGAGTTTATGATGTTGGAGTCTAAACGCAGCAGGAGTCTATGATGTTGGAGTCTAAACGCAGCAGGAGTCTATGATGTTGGAGTCTAAACGCAGCAGGAGTCTATGATGTTGGAGTCTAAACGCAGCAGGAGTCTATGATCTTGGAGCCTATGATCAGAGTCTAAACGCAGCAGGAGTCTATGATCTTGGAGCCTATGATCAGAGTCTAAACGCAGCAGGAGTCTAGGATCGGAGTCTAAACGCAGCAGGAGTCTATGATCAGAGTCTAAACGCAGCAGGAGTCTATGATCTCGGAGTCTAAACACAGCAGGAGTCTGATCTCGGAGTCTAAACGCAGCAGGAGTCTGATCTCGGAGTCTAAACGCAGCAGGAGTCTATGATCTCTGCGTCTATGATCAGAGTCTAAACACAGCTGGAGTCTATGATCGGAGTCTAAACGCAGCAGGAGTCTATGATCGGAGTCTAAACGCAGCAGGAGTCTATGATCGGAGTCTAAACGCAGCAGGAGTCTACGATCGGAGTCTAAACGCAGCAGGAGACTACGATCGGAGTCTAAATGCAGCAGGAGTCTATGATCGGAGTCTAAACGCAGCAGGAGTCTATGATCGGAGTCTAAACGCAGCAGGAGTCTACGATCGGAGTCTAAACGCAGCAGGAGACTACGATCGGAGTCTAAACGCAGCAGGAGTCTAGGATCAGAGTCTAAACGCAGCAGGAGTCTATGATCTCGGAGCCTATGATCAGAGTCTAAGCGCAGCAGGAGTCTATGATGTTGGAGTCTATGATCAGAGTCTAAACGCAGCAGGAGTCTATGATGTCGGAGCCTATGATCAGAGTCTAAGCGCAGCAGGAGTCTATGATGTTGGAGTCTAAACGCAGCAGGAGTCTATGATCTTGGAGCCTATGATCAGAGTCTAAACACAGCAGGAGTCTATGATGTCGGAGCCTATGATCAGAGTCTAAGCGCAGCAGGAGTCTATAATCTTGGAGCCTATGATCAGAGTCTAAGCGCAGCAGGAGTCTATGATCAGAGTCTAAACGCAGCAGGAGTCTAGGATCGGAGTCTAAACGCAGCAGGGGTCTAGGATCGGAGTCTATCCCTCTGCCTGTTTTCCAGCCGTGGCTCTGCTGCTAATGCTAGCTCGGTTAGCATGGATCTTCCTGCTCTACAGGTCTGACATTTCCACCGTCAGGAGGCCATGTTTCTCTGCCAGGCGGCACTCAGTCTGCTTCCGCCAAACATCCAACAACTTTTAGATCACTTCGCTGATATTAAGGTGAGAAATTAAATATCGGTCCAAGCTGCTAGCTAACAGGCTAACCGCTGCGTTTAGGGAGATTATTCTTCAGCTCACTTTGATGCTAATCTCAGCAGCTAATGTTAGCTAACCTGTAGGAGGTGTTGCTTTCCTCCCTAACCCTCCTTTCACAGCCAAACAACCGTCCACATTCAAAGCAAAGCAGAAAGCTACCGGAACACACTGACCGCTCTAATAATGGCAGCTCTATGCTCCGGCTCGCTCTGTTCAAACAGCGCTTAGAAGTTTAACTTTTACCTGTAGCAGCCATCTTGAACGCTCTCAGTCTGAAGTGGAATCTGTCAAGAAGTTCAAGGAAAGCGGAAAAAGCAACATAATTCTGCGCTCCCATTGGCTGCTTCATGCGCCCTGGCTTTTCATTGGACGTGTGGTGGAGGGGGCGGGGCCTGCTGTGGAATTGGATTAAAACTGGACTCAGAGTAGATGCCTTTACACGTCATTTAAAAACAAGCCGTCAGTGATTAAGAAACACAAACATTGATGAAAGAAATCACTGGAAACACAATTAATAAACGGATTTTATTAAAAAGAAAAAAATCACATAAAAGTAAAAATGGACGCAACCAATCAGGATGCCAGGAGGAAATATTTAATTAAACCCAGAATTACTGCAGCCTTTTTTTTCTCTCGCTCTCTCTCTCTCTATGTATGTATATATATCTATATATATATAGATATATATACAGACGTGAGAAAGGTTAGTATAACTGATGGCCTTTAGTTTCTGCTAGGCTGCTCTAACGAGGCCTGAAGCATTAATTAACTCCACAGTTGGTTGATGGACTCCTTCTTATTCCACGCTGAGGAACTTCCTTTTTTTGGCCGTGTGCGTGTACGGGTGATGACGCCACTCCACATCCGCTGTGCTCTCGTTCTCCAGGGTACCCAGCTTGATCATGTACACTAAAGAGGAGATAAGATCAAAAACTTTTAAACCTCAAACTGTTCTAGTTGGAGAAAAATAATAGTTTGAACATTTTTCCACACGATGCCTTGAAGTCCATGACAGGTTGGAAGTAAAGTTTAAGCAGACTTCAGTTTGTTTACCTTTATAATAGTATTTAATATCTACATATTAAAAGATTTTATTAGTCATACCTGAAGTTTGAGATTATTCATTAACAAGGAGATAAAAAATGGAATAAATGTGAATAATAAAAGCTAATCCAAACCAGATTCTGAAAACAACCCTGATAAAGAGGTCAGAGGTCATGGTCCATTAGCTCCCCTACCACTTTAATCCTGATTAGGATCAGATTATAATATCAGATTATATATCAAATCCTCTGATGCCGAGTTCCTCTAAGCTGTTGGTTCATAATAAATCTTGTTGCTCACTGGATCAAACCTTTTCTGTTATTCAACCAACAACCTTTAGTAGTTTAAACCAGACTTTCGGGAGCTTTAACCTGTAAACAATGTTTCCAAACTTTAGTTTTGAAATCTTTCCACAGATTTGTCAGTGGAACGAGGTCCATGTTTGGACTAGGCCATTCTGGATGGGCCCCCCCCACACACACACACAGCTTCCTCTGCTCTAAGGTCCATTAGCAGAGCAGAACATCTGGATCTATCGTGGATTAGATGTTCTCAGAAGGACAAGTTGCAGCAAATCAAAACAAACCAATTCAAACCCAAACTTTCCAGGTTTCTATTTGGTAGAAAACATAAAAGCTCTTTCATTTCTATTTTCTTTATTCAGAACCACGGCTGCCCTTAGAAAACCCGACTGATTGAGCTTTTTTCTGTTCAGTGAGCGAAGATGATGGGATGTGAATCAGAGCTGTAGAGCTAAAGTGAATATAAGTGCTGATCTGCGACATTCAATTAAAATGAATATCTCTGCATGAGAGCAGATCTAGCTGTAGATCTACTTACACTTCATCTCAAATCTAGGTCCCACTTCTGTCAGCTCTATGTTCCTGTGGTCAGTTTTCTTATAGGTGTGATGCCTAGAAAAAAAAAAAAACAGATCAATCAAAAGTTCAATCTTTAAGTTACTTTGTTTTCCTCACAACAACCTGAAGGAGATGAAGTCCTCCTGGTTGGCGAAGGTGATGACCCGCCTGCTGTCGTCCTTGGGGACCGGGAACAGATACTTCAGGATATTCGACACCTGAACCACCACAATGAATCGTTTTCAGCACAATGGATGTAAAGCAATATCCCCAGAAGCTGCAGAACGCTCAGCTCTCACCCGTTTGCCCAGGCGTGAGGAGAAGTTGTGAAAGATGAGGTGGGGGTAGGCCTCCGACATGGTGCCGATGTTTGGAACATCGTGCCTCATCACCACGTTGTAGAGCGTGAAATAAGCTGTGGGTCCAAATGGTAGGTGGCAAACCACCAGACCGTCTGCAAACACACAAGAACATCCAGCAGGTTGTTCACGTCAGTCAGCGACAACAAACTTTATATAAACAAACCTTCCTTAATCTGGATTTATACCCAAAGGCAGACCTTCCTTAATCTGGATTAATATCCAAAGGCAGACCTTCCTAATATGGATTTATACCCAAAGGCAGACCTTCCTTAATCTGGGTTTATACCCAAAGGCAGACCTTCCTAATATGGATTTATACCCAAAGGCAGACCTTCCTTAATCTGGGTTTATACCCAAAGGCAGACCTTCCTAATATGGATTTATACCCAAAGGCAAACCTTCCTTAATCTGGATTAATATCCAAAGGCAGACCTTCCTAATATGGATTTATACCCAAAGGCAGACCTTCCTTAATCTGGATTAATATCCAAAGGCAGACCTTCCTAATATGGATTTATACCCAAAGGCAAACCTTCCTTAATCTGGGTTTATACCCAAAGGCAGACCTTCCTAATATGGATTTATACCCAAAGGCAGACCTTCCTTAATCTGGGTTTATACCCAAAGGCAGACCTTCCTAATATGGATTTATACCCAAAGGCAGACCTTCCTTAATCTGGATTAATATCCAAAGGCAGACCTTCCTAATATGGATTTATACCCAAAGGCAGACCTTCCTTAATCTGGATTAATATCCAAAGGCAGACCTTCCTAATATGGATTTATACCCAAAGGCAAACCTTCCTTAATCTGGGTTTATACCCAAAGGCAGACCTTCCTAATATGGATTTATACCCAAAGGCAGACCTTCCTTAATCTGGATTAATATCCAAAGGCAGACCTTCCTAATATGGATTTATACCCAAAGGCAAACCTTCCTTAATCTGGGTTTATACCCAAAGGCAGACCTTCCTAATATGGATTTATACCCAAAGGCAGACCTTCCTTAATCTGGATTAATATCCAAAGGCAGACCTTCCTAATATGGATTTATACCCAAAGGCAGACCTTCCTTAATCTGGATTAATATCCAAAGGCAGACCTTCCTAATATGGATTTATACCCAAAGGCAGACCTTCCTTAATCTGGATTAATATCCAAAGGCAGACCTTCCTAATATGGATTTATACCCAAAGGCAAACCTTCCTTAATCTGGGTTTATACCCAAAGGCAGACCTTCCTAATATGGATTTATACCCAAAGGCAGACCTTCCTTAATCTGGGTTTATACCCAAAGGCAGACCTTCCTAATATGGATTTAAACCCAAAGGCAAACCTTCCTTAATCTGAATTTATATCCAAAGGCAGACCTTCCTAATCTGGATTTATATCCAAAGGCAAACCTTCCTAATCTGGATTTTTATCCAAAGGCAAACCTTCCTTAATCTGGATTTATATCCAAAGGCAAACCTTTCTTAATCTGGATTTATACCCAAAGGCAGACCTTCCTAATATGGATTTATACCCAAAGGCAGACCTTCCTTAATCTGGATTAATATCCAAAGGCAGACCTTCCTAATCTGGATTAATATCCAAAGGCAGACCTTCCTAATATGGATTTATACCCAAAGGCAGACCTTCCTTAATCTGGATTAATATCCAAAGGCAGACCTTCCTAATATGGATTTATACCCAAAGGCAAACCTTCCTTAATCTGGGTTTATATCCAAAGGCAGACCTTCCTAATATGGATTTATACCCAAAGGCAGACCTTCCTTAATCTGGATTAATATCCAAAGGCAGACCTTCCTAATATGGATTTATACCCAAAGGCAGACCTTCCTTAATCTGGATTAATATCCAAAGGCAGACCTTCCTAATATGGATTTATACCCAAAGGCAGACCTTCCTTAATCTGGATTAATATCCAAAGGCAGACCTTCCTAATATGGATTTATACCCAAAGGCAAACCTTCCTTAATATGGGTTTATACCTAAAGGCAGACCTTCCTAATATGGATTTATACCCAAAGGCAGACCTTCCTTAATCTGGATTAATATCCAAAGGCAGACCTTCCTAATATGGATTTATACCCAAAGGCAGACCTTCCTTAATCTGGATTAATATCCAAAGGCAGACCTTCCTAATATGGATTTATACCCAAAGGCAAACCTTCCTTAATCTGGGTTTATACCCAAAGGCAGACCTTCCTAATATGGATTTATACCCAAAGGCAGACCTTCCTTAATCTGGGTTTATACCCAAAGGCAGACCTTCCTAATATGGATTTATACCCAAAGGCAAACCTTCCTTAATCTGAATTTATATCCAAAGGCAGACCTTCCTAATCTGGATCTATATCCAAAGGCAAACCTTCCTAATCTGGATTTTTATCCAAAGGCAAACCTTCCTTAATCTGGATTTATATCCAAAGGCAAACCTTCCTTAATCTGGATTTATATCCAAAGGCAAACCTTCCTTAATCTGAATTTATATCCAAAGGCAGACCTTCCTAATCTGGATTTATATCCAAAGGCAAACCTTCCTAATCTGGATTTATATCCAAAGGCAAACCTTCCTTAATCTGGATTTATATCCAAAGGCAAACCTTCCTTAATCTGGATTTATATCCAAAGGCAAACCTTCCTAATCTGGATTTATATCCAAAGGCAAACCTTCCTAATCTGGATTTATATCCAAAGGCAAACCTTCCTTAATCTGGATTTATATCCAAAGGCAAACCTTCCTTAATCTGGATTTATATCCAAAGGCAAACCTTCCTAATCTGGATTTATATCCAAAGGCAAACCTTCCTAATCTGGATTTATATCCAAAGGCAAACCTTCCTTAATCTGAATTTATATCCAAAGGCAAACCTTCCTAATCTGGATTTATATCCAAAGGCAAACCTTCCTAATCTGGATTTATATCCAAAGGCAAACCTTCCTTAATATGAATTTATATCCAAAGGCAGACCTTCCTAATCTGGATTTATATCCAAAGGCAGACCTTCCTTTATGTGGGCCATTGTTGGTTTGGACATTGTCCCGGGGCCCCAGGTGGGACATTGTCCCGGGGCCCCAGGTGGGACATTGTCTCGGGGCCCCAGGTGGGACATTGTCTCGGGGCCCCAGGTGGGACATTGTCCCGGGGCCCCAGGTGGGACATTGTCTCGGGGCCCAAGGCTGCAGCGTTGGTAGCCATCTTGTAAATAATGAATTAGTGATTGATAAATTAAAGAGTAATAATTGTTAGAACCAATGAAAGAACCAAAATGATGCAGTAAGGATAAAACTGCTGTTCAACAGCTAAGCATGGAGTGAAGGGGCCTGAAGCGGGGGCCGGGGGCCACCGAGTACCTGGCTGTCCTCTGGTTTCATGGATGATGACGAGGTCTGTCACATTGTTGGCTTTGCAGGCTCTCACCAGCGCAGCAACCTCATGGTTTCCTCTGTTCATGCGCTGGGCTCCAGGAAACATCAGCTTCACCTCCTAAAACATCAAATTAAACTTTATTCACTACCTCCTAATTCTACAGACAGCGCTTCCATCTAGGAGCCAGGAAAAGGTCATGCACCTTGACCTTTGACATCCTGTCACATTACAACTATTTCATGTTAGAGAAACAAAAATACAGAATAAAAACTAGAAAAAGTTGCATTTCCTTCAAAAATGCAGTGTGAATGCTGTATGCTAAACTGTAAGCTTTCAGGTGAAAATGCAAGAAACAAGTTGAAATTTAAAGCAAAAGCTGCTGAAATGGTAAAAAAGAACAATGCCTAATTTGTTTCCTAAAAATAGCTGAAGCCAACAGCAGAAACATGCTTTATTCTGCTCTCTTTCTGCATTAAGCTTTTCTGCTTGCTGCTAATTCGTAACATAAGTTCACAACATAGACTGAAATCCAACCAACAGAAACCACAAAGCAATGGCAAAAAAAACCCGGAATCTTATCTAGTGAAAAAAAGGAGCATTTTAAGGACTAAAGAGTTGAAGAATGAATAAGAAGCTTGATTAAAGTGTTTAAAAGTTGAGAACTGTTGAGAACTTTTTATAAAGGCAGCGCATCTATAAACACTCTATGAGCTAAAGTCTGCACAGGAGAGAACACCATAGGAATAATAGTATAATAGATACAACCAAGCTGCACGACCAATCCCTAAAAGACATGGAAAAATTCCTTCAACGAAGGCATTAGAACGGTCTGAAGATGGTCTGCAACAAGTTTGATGTTTGTACATCAAATGGTTTGGAAGAGGTGGGAAGTTAAAACATTTAACATTTAGGATTCTGCATTACAGAGCCTGGAGGTTCAGCAGCAGCTGGAGCCAACAGCAGAATCATGCAAGAGATTAATGCCTGTCCAGAAAGACACCAGAATCATGCAAGAGATTAATGCCTGTCCAGAAAGACAGCAGAATCATGCAAGAGATTAATGCCTGTCCAGAAAGACAGCAGAATCATGCAAGAGATTAATGCCTGTCCAGAAAGACACCAGAATCATGCAAGAGATTAATGCCTGTCCAGAAAGACACCAGAATCATGCAAGAGATTAATGCCTGTCCAGAAAGACAGCAGAATCATGCAAGAGATTAATGCCTGTCCAGAAAGACAGCAGAATCATGCAAGAGATTAATGCCTGTCCAGAAAGACAGCAGAATCATGCAAGAGATTAATGCCTGTCCAGAAAGACAGCAGGATTAGGGCTGGGCGATATAGAAAAAAAGCTTATCGATAAAAAAAAATGCATATTGATCGATATCGATAATTATTGAAAAGATTTGAAACCATATTTTATGTGCAGCTCTGCCTGGACTTTTTATAATATTGCTAAATTATTTAATTTTAATAAAAAACACAAACACAGACTTCAAATTAAATCTTTATTTAACCAACTTTTTTAACCATAACAGAATTGTTTTAAAGAAAAATAACTTAAGAGATCTGAGTTATGTTATTAAATACTGACAAAGAATAAACTAAAGTGACCAGAAAAGTGACCAAAATAAATATAACAAATAAATAAATGCCCCCCACCGCCGCCGCCCCCGTTTCCTGCTTTAACCTGAGTTATTACTTTGAAGTTTCTGGCCCCTCAGCATTTTTATCTCAATTGTTAGAACTACGTGGGAAACTGCCCAGAACTGAAAATATATATATTTTTTCCGAAGATTCCTCGGAGGAGAGCCGCGTCGGGGGCCTACACAGCTCGTACTCCTGCGGCTGTGAGCGGCTGAGATGATAAAAAAAAAGCTGGTTTCGTTATCAGACTGGTTTTCACTGGTTCCCGACACATTTTCCAGATGACTTTGGTTTGTTTTTGGTCCGACTTGCCATGACCGAAATACTGCCAGACTGGCGAACTACAAAAACCTTTCTTTGAAACAATTTCCTCCGACTCTCCTTGCTGCGACATCTTCATGTGCTCTGTGTTGTGGTTTGAGAGGGCGGCGCTTGGTGACGGCATGCCTGGGTCCGCGATTGTGATTGGTTGGGAGGAAGCAGTGACTAGCATAAACCTACATGCTAGGCTACAATGAGAAGGAAGGAAAACTGCGTTTCTTTTTTATCGACCCTCTTTTTTTCTATTGCGCCACACGTCTATCGATCGATATATATCGTTATTGAATTATCACCCAGCCCTAAGCAGGATCTTGCAAGAGATTAATGCCTGTCCAGAAGGACAGCAGAATCATGCAAGAGATTAATGCCTGTCCAGAAAGACAGCCGGATCATGCAAGAGATTAATGCCTGTCCAGAAAGACAGCCGGTGTAGGTACCAGATTGACTCGGGCTGCCAGATTGACTCGGGGGCCTGCGCCTTTTGATGACGTCACAATACATAATTGTTTTAACGTTTGCACAATTGCGCAAAACATTTTGATTGGTCTGGACAGCTTACTAAAGTAATTATAGCGGGGTGTAGGTTTTATTCGAAAGCGGGATTGCTGTTTGTAAACGGACAATTTTACGAAGACATTCTCCATGGTCCCTGCACCTTCTGATGACGTCACCGAATTCGCCATGGGCCTTGCGCCTCCCGATGACGTGACAATATGGCAATGCCACTCAAACAAACTACATTGAGCCCGCGGTCTGCATTTGTAACGAGAATAAATTCAGGAGAATGAAGCTAAAGGGATACAAAAAATAAACTTGTAATATTACAAAACCAAAAATACTACGAATACAAAGTATATTCAGAGATTAAAGTCCCTCTGATACTGTTTAAGTGACTGAGAAACTGCAGATTTGCCACATTTAAGATGGCGGACGCTCTGACGCATCTCAAAAGGCGCAGGCCCCCGAGTCAATCTGGCAGCCCGAGTCAATCTGGTACCTACACCGGATCATGCAAGAGATTAATGCCTGTCCAGAAAGACAGCAGAATCATGCAAGAGATTAATGCCTGTCCAGAAAGACAGCCGGATCATGCAAGAGATTAATGCCTGTCCAGAAAGACAGCCGGATCATGCAAGAGATTAATGCCTGTCCAGAAAGACAGCAGAATCATGCAAGAGATTAATGCCTGTCCAGAAAGACAGCCGGATCATGCAAGAGATGAATGCCTGACCAGAAAGACAGCCGGATCATGCAAGAGATTAATGCCTGTCCAGAAAGACAGCAGAATCATGCAAGAGATTAATTCCTGTCCAGAAAGACAGCAGAATCATACAAGAGAGCAAGAGATTAATGCCTGTCCAGAAAGACAGCAGAATCATGCAAGAGATTAATTCCTGTCCAGAAAGACAGCAGAATCATGCAAGAGATTAATGCCTGTCCAGAAAGACAGCCGGATCATGCAAGAGATGAATGCCTGACCAGAAAGACAGCAGAATCATGCAAGAGATTAATTCCTGTCCAGAAAGACAGCAGAATCATACAAGAGAGCAAGAGATTAATGCCTGTCCAGAAAGACAGCAGAATCATGCAAGAGATTAATTCCTGTCCAGAAAGACAGCAGAATCATGCAAGAGATTAATGCCTGTCCAGAAAGACAGCAGAATCATGCAAGAGATTAATGCCTGTCCAGAAAGACAGCAGAATCAAGCAAGAGATTAATGCCTGTCCAGAAAGACACCAGAATCAAGCAAGAGATTAATGTCTGTCCAGAAAGACAGCAGAATCATACAAGAGAGCAAGAGATTAATGCCTGTCCAGAAAGACAGCAGAATCATGCCAAATTTGAAACAATGACGACATTTAATAAAATAGCAGAAACAGCTAAATAAATAGTAAAAAACAGAAAAAAAAACTTAAATCTTATCTAGCTGAAGAAAACAAGGAGTAGCTTCATGATAGGAAGTAAAATGTTGAAAAAGATGGTAGTGAATAATAGTGAAATCATATGTGGAAATGTGAAGATCTGAAAAAACCATTTGAAATGACTTAAAATGTGTGAGTTGATCAGCATAGAGTGTCATCATTAGAAGCTGGATAGAATTAAAATGTGTGAGTTGATCAGCATAGAGTGTCATCATTAGAAGCTGGATAGAATAAAATGTGTGAGTTGATCAGCATAGAGTGTCATCATTACAAGCTGGATAGAATTAAAATGTGTGAGTTGAATCCTGACATAAATCTCTACATTTTGATGTGTCTAGATAGAGTGAAAAATTAGCGAGTGAGTAGAAGTTGTTTGGCATGAGTGAAATGTTTGAAAACGCTAGCGTAGCACATTCTAGAGCTCAAAGATCATTGACTTCCATTTAAATCCGAAAATCTGTAAAAATTCTTCAAAAGTTTGAACTTCACTGAAGCAGAGATAGCAAAAAGTTAAACAGTAATAGCAGAAAGATGCAGAAACGTTTTAAAAGTTGAATGGTGTTTCTAGCTGAAAGTTTTAGCAGAACTTTGGCAGAATCCCATTCATTCCTATGGGGCCAAAGTTTTCATAAAAAGCGTAATATTTCCAAAACTGTGAAAGTTATGAATAACAGGAATCATAGCAGGAATATCCTTAACCAGCTGAACGTTTTGATACCAATATTGTTGCAATAGTAGAAAGTATGCAGAAGTAAATACAGTCCAAAAAGTGTACAGAAGCAACCAGAAGAAGACGGAATGTAAAACTTTGTGTTGAACTATGATTAATACATCAAAAAGAGTAAAAGATATAGAAATAATTTTAAACGACAGGAATCAGCAGTCATTGGAAAAGGCACGGCCGATTTCTTTAAGAAGTATTCAGTCTTGTGGCCGCAGAAGCATGCGGCACATTTATATGTGCAGGCGATTTTAATTTGCTCCTAAATCCAGAAATGAAACAACTCGCATAGAGCGAAGAAAAACTCACTTAGAAAAGCAATAAAAAAAAGGTTGGGACTCATAGATATATGGAGATATTTTCATAAACATGAGCGTGAATTTACCTTTTACTCTATTAGGCATAATGTACAGACTAGAGTTGATTATTTTTTATGTTCCATAGGGACCTTCACAGAGGGAGAGATTGTATAATAGGCCAAAGAGACGTTTCTGATCATTCTGGT